CTCGTACTGTTTTTATTGGGAGCCCAGCTGAATTTTCCTCCTCCACCTACTGTTGTGGGGATGAGCGTTTGTAACATGTTTTCAGGTCATAACTTGCTGTAAGTATGCAAGGCATCTGACATCCTTTTGTCCACCATTTGTAAAATATCCCAGCTGGTTTGTTTTAATTATTATGGGATTCTTGTGTAATGAAAGATGCTATGGCAATACTTTGCTTTCAAATGGGGAGGCTGTTCTCCAGCTTCTGCCATGGCTAATGTGGCATCTTTAAGGCTGGACATCATCTCACGTGGTTCTGGGATTAGATGCATCAGGTCAGACATCTCTAACATCTCTTGAATCTGAAGGTCCAAGTGCAAAACATGTACCAACAGACTGAAAATCCAGAAATGCAGCCCCCACCAATGCAAGAGGCTCAGAGAGACTTCTGTGGGAACTGTAAAGACAAGGCCTGAAGTTGACATTCAAGAGCTGGCTGCACTGAGATGGTAATCGAGACGGGCTCCCATCAGCCAGTCGCATTAAATGAGCTTCTGGCCCAACCTCACTGCCTTTGGCCCTTCACAAAGTTTCTGCTCAAGTATCAGACACTAGCCACGCTCATCTCTACAACCCAAAACTAAAGGGATCTTGCCTATTAAAGGGCAATCCTATCTCCCCAGTAATGGATGCTGGCAATTAAATTAATGTTGTGATCTTGATAAAAGTTACCTCCCAAAAGCCCACTGCTATTTCCCCTGGCTGTGAAGAACTGCTGCTCTCCTCTCCCAAACAGCAGTAGTCAACACAGCCCTGCGTCAGATGAATGTGGAAGCGCATAGGCTGTTAAGAGTACCGTACTGAAATGAATTAACTGCCCCCAGCTGTGTAAAGCTAGACAAGGTAGGAACAACTTAAGTAACCAAAATGACAGAAGCTCATCTTGCAAAACTGCTTACTAAAACAAGATGGCACTCAAAAGCTTCCAAAAGCATAAGGACCCACTTGATGCAGGTCATCATTAATTTATTATTTGCTTACAGCTTTCCCTTTACAGTTGGACTGGAGGAGGTGAAAGAAAAGAAATGCGAGGGGAGGAAAAAAAGCAACCAAAAATATGTATAAATATACTTGTCCAACATCTCCACCTGGCATATTCAAGTCAAGTCAGTCCCAAGGCCATTACAACCATGACCACGACCATTAAGGCCATAACCTTAGATGCTGTGCATCATTGGTGATTCTTCAAACATAGTGACCTGGTGGTGACCATCTCCTCTCCGGGTATGGATGGCTGCTGGCTCTCAGGGAGCTCATCTACCCTTTGACAGGTCTTGTTTATAGTCCTGCTGGGTGCCCACGTGCCCTTCTCACCCAGGCGGAGGTGCCGGTTTAGTCGCTGACATCCCAATCATGGAACAGGCTGTACTGGTTTACATGGTACCAGACAGCAGATCAAGACAGGCCTGGCCTGACAGTAAACTGGTATATTATACTGGTGTTATAATGCAGGGGTCAGCAAACTACAGCCCATGGGCCAGGGACATTGGTAGCTGGGAGGGCATGGAAATTGGCTGGATTCAGCAGTGGGGAAGTAGCAGTCAGGTCTGAAGTATCAGTGGCAATTCAGCAGCTGGAGGACACAGCGGCAGAATTGCAACTGGCCACGTGCCTTCAGACCAACCTGTTTTTTTTCAGCTGGCTGCTACTAAAAAGCTGCCAACTGCTCATAAACAGTCCTGGAAAGGGAACGTAAAAAGTCAGCAGTCATCGCTAACAGAGCAAACTCACTCCAGGAAACCATCAGCTCCTGCAGCTCCAAGCAAGTCAGAGTTGTTGCAGGTGCTAATCCACTCTCTATGTTTAGGTTAAACCTTGGTGCGCCCACTCCAAAACACTGAAACACCTGAGCTTTGCAACTGATGCAGGATGCATCCTTCCTGCAAGTCCTGCAGGTTCGAACTGTGACAGGTTCTCAAACAGAGGTGACACCAAGGCAGATGGATGCTGCCACGCAACAGAAGTTGGATCAGGTTTCCCACCAAGCCTGCAGCTGCGGGAAGCATTTTCAGAAGTTGGCAATCAGGTGTCATTTGATCTGCAAAATAAGACAGCTCTCAGTTGCCCCCTCCCAGCTCCTCACACTGGTCTCTACTGTCTTGTGCATCCACTGAGAGAGTCCATTTATCAAAGGCAAAAAGGCCTTTTCTTCAAACTGCCCTTCACAGGAGATTCGCGCACACAGAGGGGAAAGGGGTTACTTTGCTCCTGACTTACCAGCCAAGGCAAAAAGATGTCTTAAGCAACTGGATCCATATGTTCTGCTTATGACCACAGGATGATAAGACCTTTGGAAAAGTCAGATCTTTTTCCCCGACCGTGACAAACTGCAGAGCTGCAAATGGTAAGGAAAGCTCAACTCTATTGCGGCACAGTCCCAAAACCAGCCTGAGGCAGAGGTGAACTGGCCATGGCATTTTGAACGATGCACACTTCCTGCATCCTGCTGACTTGCGAGCCAAAGAGAGGTCAGCCTTTGTGCTTCGCTCACACTAATGAAGGCAATGCAGATGTTGGAACAACCAGCACCTATACCAGGTTTAGCAGCTGGAAGAGGCAGGGTGTGTGACTATTAAGGGGTAGTAATGAACATGCTGAGGAATCAAGGTTGCAGCATAGTTAAAATGCCTCCTGTCCTTTTAAGCTATACATGAATTACAAATTAGAAGCAGCCAGGAAACGTGGGCAGGAGCACATCGTGCAAACAGTGTCCAGCAAGGGATACTTTCTGTTGAAGAATGCAGCGTGCTAGTTATAAGCTACATCAAAGGTGGGCCTGTCAGAGCAAACCAGCCTAGCTGGGTGCCTGGCTTGTCACCACTCCTGGAAAAACCTAGGACAAAAATTCCTTAGTGAAGAGGCACAGGGAAGTATGACGGCAGCCAGAGAGAAGGCTAAAGAGCAATGAAAAGAGCAGAGTGGCCAGGAGAGCACAGCAGCCACCTCCTGCCTCATCTCTCCTTAGGCACCGCAGTATGGTATTTACTGAGGCCAGATCACCTTTTCTGCAGAGGGATCCGATTACACCCCTGTAAGAAAATCCCTGAAGCAGCACAGTTCCTCACTTCAGTTCAACATTTCTTGGATATCATTTAACTTTGATAGCAGCCCTTAACTCCCTGCAGGGAGGTTGCAAAGAAGATGGAGCTGAACTGTTCTCAGAGGGGGCAGATGACAGGACAAGGAGCAATGGGCTCAAGTTGCAGCACGGGAAGTTGAGATTTAATACTGGGAAAAACTTTTTCAATAGGAGGGTGGTAAAGCACTGGAACAGGTTACCCAGAGAGGTGGTGGAGTCTCCATCCTTGGAGATGATGTAGTTAGGGCTGGTCCTGCTTTGAGCAGCGGGTTGGACTAGATGCGACTCCCGAGATCCCTTCCAATCCTCATTCTCTATGATTTTATGATTACATGCATCCTGTCCATTCCTTACCAGGGGCCCCAGACTAACCTTATCCTATCCCCAGCAGGATAGAATGACAGAGACAAACTGAAGGTGCAAGACGCCTGCTGTATGACCAGCGCACGGCCGTCTCAAGTCATGTCAGAGCTTTCTTACCAGCCCATAACCTCTCGATGCCACACCCAAGGAGACATGACAACAGATGTTGAATGAGACGCTGAAGAAAATACCCGACAGCGAAAAAATGGACGTTCCAGTGGTCGAGTCCTTACCACCAGGGGCTTGACGAACCATGACAAAGGTGCCGATGTCTCAACTGCCTACGTACTGGAGTCAGATGCTCCAAGGAACTAACAAAGAAGTGGAGCTATACATTGGTTCAAGCACCTGTGACTGTGGCATAGAGATTCAGACTGCACCACCTGCTGCAATGCCTGCTGCTTGAAGGTACACACATAATGAAAGACCTTGCAAAGTACAATATATAAGCACAAGCATGTGCAACAAAATGGTCAAATGTGGTACAGAGACATGAGAAGACAATGACAACCAGGGACCCTTTCTTGTCATGCCTTTTCATGCAAATCTTTCACAAGGTCACTAGCTGTTCCACGCATGGGGGCTGATCCCAGCCCCCCTAACTCATGTGCACTGAAAGCAATGAGACCAATCCAAGGAGCTACTTGCCACCCAGGGCACTTCCCAGGGGGAAGAGCAACATCAAAACACCAATATGGTAAGACAGCAGAATAGGGATGAGAGTGACAGGATGCAAATGATGCACAGGCAACACCTGAGAGTCAGATAAATAAGGATAGGAAAGCTCGCTTCATACCTAGCTCTGGCATTTAGGAAAGCAACCATAAAAGGCTTTTATTCTTCCAGACTGCAATTTCTAAGTGCAAGGCCATGGGGTAACTGTTACCAGTGAAAAGCTAAATGGCAAAGGTGCAGGGCAATCTGCAAGAAACAGGGTCAGCCACTGATCCAGAAGTTTAGGAACGACTGCCTTTGAGACATGCTCTGGCTACATTTTATGGTTCCCACAGACTGCTACTGGCATTTATGATTTCAGCACTGGAAATGGCATGTGAAGGGTCAGATTGCAAAGAACCACTCAGGTGAACAGTGCCTGGCTCACCTGAGGTCCAAGCATCTGTGTCCCATTGGGTTTCCCCACAGATAGAGCATTCTCAATGCAAGTAATGGCAGCAGATCTGGGTGCCAGAGATGTGGACAAAGGGTGGGATTTTCAGAAGCACCGAGATCTTTTGGAAAGCCAAAGGGATGCATGCTTTTAACTAATTTGGGTGCTCTGGAAAAACCTCACCTTGAATTCTCACTCAGCATCAGCACTTCATTAGCATACATTTCTACAAAACACTTTGCTAAAGTATTTTTGCCCTGGACAGATGCTTTGTGAAGAGCCGGATTGTGAAAAACTTGCTGTTCGATAATCAACCGGTAAACGGTTTCCTCCAAGATTCAGCTCTCAGGCTTCCACATTTCTTTCTTCCCTTCTTGCTAGGAATATACAATAGACCGAACTGTTACCTACCACTTCTCCAAAGGAGGCAGCCACCATGTGCGTCACTGGAGCCAGGTACTGGGAGGAGTCACTGTGGAGTGCATATTTCATGTATTCATAGGTGGCAAAAAATGCAGCAGCTGAAAATTAAAAAAAAAAAAAAAAAAATGCTGCCTTGAAGCTATTCCTAAGGTTGCATTAGCAGACTGCTATTAAGATCCAGAAAAATCTTAACAGCTGTTGAAATCCACCATCCAGGAACAGAAACTAAAACATTTCCCCAAAACAGTGCTACCCTTCTAGACAGTAGGGTTCATGGGCACCCCTATTGCCTCCAGGGACAATACTCTCACTGACTTCACTGGGACCAGGCTTTCTTGCCGAGATTATTATTGCAGTGATTTCAGGTTTTGGTAAAGTCAAACACCCGTGTCTTTTTAACACAATAAAATGCAAGGAGCCTATGCTTGTCTCCTTGGCAGATTGATTAGCTGAGTGCTAGGAGCAGGTACTTAAATTCAACACGTCTGCTAGTTGTTCCGAACAGCAACATTATCTTCCAGGCTAAAAATCCACCAAATATCTTTACAGTTTACCAAAGAACTGCTGAGTGTTTGAAACATTTGTTACACCCTAATCTAATGGACAAGGAAGAATTGTATTTTGTAGTAGGGTCAGTCTCATCATTTATAAAACCCATCCACCCATCCCAATGGAGTGTTACAGAAAGAGGGAAAAAAATAAAAAAAGCAACCCAGGAAGAACTTTTTTCATACTAACAAGAATTTGCTTTCTATCACATTAAGGTATTTCAGTTTTCAGTCTTAGGCTGCAACACAAAATAAATCACAGTTTAGATTTTAAAGACACAAATCCTGAGAAAGCTGGCATCTGTCCAGGAGGGAGGGATGAAGGGGAAAGCAGATTTTAATTGTGCAAGAGGGGTACGTGCATCACCTTCTGCTGTTAATCAAAAGATGCTTATCACCTCCAGAGATAACCAAAGCAGGGAAGATAAAGAACAAAAACATTTCATATCATCTTATGAAGGACTTTGGACCCTTGAAAGCGTGAGTGGACATCTTTCTAAACTTCTCTCAGTATTCACAAACAAGACAGCCCTGTGGGGCATTTTTTTGCTACAAAGTGGAAGTGCACAAACACTTAAGGAACTTCAGATGCTTTCCCCAGAGTTTAAAACTATTTGCTTAAAAAGTGTCAGTGCCCAAAGCTGCTTTTTTAAAAAAAATGATTCTTCTAGAGAGATGGAAAAGAATGTCCCTGGATAGCATTTGACTCAAAGAACTGAGGAGAGCCTAGGGGGATGCACCAGACCTCTTCATTCACACCTAGTGCCTATAGCCATGATTTAAAGGACTGCGTGTCCAGGGCAAGAGGCAATGCTCTCTCTTGTGCTTGGAAAATCCATGTGATCTTGCAGGTGCTGCTATGGACCAGAAGGAACTGGCAACAGGTGTCCAGGGAAAGGAAGGCCCGAGGAAGAGGGGTTCTCTCTCTCCAAGGTGCAACATGTCCCCAGCACCCTGGTATTTGAGCACCCAACAACCTTTAACAGAATGGAGAGGCATGGAGGAACTCTCATTCCCATTTTACAGGGAGTGGGGGGACTGAGACACAGAAAGCCTAGCTGACCCGTCAAAGGACACATAAAAAGCTGGGGTCAGAGTAGGAAGCTGAACCCAACACTTCCCAAGTCCCATCTTAAGAAACGAAGCATCCTTCCTTTTCAACTAATGCACACAGGCTTATAGGGACAGAGTCAGGGCCTGGTGGCAAAGCAGCTAAGACATCATGCCAGGGCTGCTGATGTTGGCAGCTAAAAAAATTAAATAGTACAGCACCTGGCACTGCAGAACACTTTACAAACACCTATCCATCTCCTGCATGCCCACAGGCTTTGTCCAGAGCCCGGAAGCTGCTCCTCCCTGCAGCCAGAGAGAGCCCTGCAAACTTCAGCGTGAGTTTGACCACACCAAGCAGCTTGGAGGATTGGGGCAGGGATAACCAGAATCAAACCTTATGCATTAAGGCACATGCTTGTATGTGCTGCCGCCTCGCAGATGACGGGGAATGAACAGAAGTATAATCCAGGAATTTTACCATTTGGGAAAGATCCAATAGCAGCAGAAGGGACCCCAGCGTAGATGCCACGAAAGCCGCCAGCCTTCTTGAAGCCCTGGGGACTCTGCAGTCTGGTTTTTATGGTATCCAGAGGGAATAATATCAGATCCACGCACACTCCTGCGATCCCGCCAGCCTGCAAGATGAACAGAGAATTTATGGTTATGTAGTGAGTGAGATAACAGCATATATATGCATGGGACAACAACCCACCCAAGGAACAATGTTATCCGTCTGCTGTAGAAGTGCTGATCTTTTGTACATAGGCTGGTTTCCCTGATAATTTCTTTTTACTACAAAGAGAGGGTAAGAATAAAAACATGCATCTGAAGCATTCTTCCATTTCACAGAGCAAGGTCCTAGCAACACTGAACCAGCACAAGCCAACCATCTGAGTGGGACATCCCAATTAGCACTACAATACAGCACAGAATTGCCATTAGCTTTATGAGGTACTGTGCCAGTGTCAAAGTTTGAGGGGAAATGATTTTTATTCTCCATGAAACATTTCAAGTTTTCATAGGGGAAAGAAATCACGGAGTGCAGAATTTAAAGTCTAAGCCAA